ATTGAACCAACTTTAATTTACTTCATATGCTGATGTTACTTTAGATTTAAATTGACAATACTGTGGCAAAAACCTTTGTAGTCGTTTACAAAGGCTAAAAATTTTGGAATTCATTAATCTGAGACCCTAACATTTTGCAGCTGAATCCCAGCATACGATTGTGATTCCATGTTTTGAGGTGCCTGCTTAATCCAGGATTCAATTAAGTTTTCCACAAGATTAGCAGTAGCTGGGATAAAATAGACTGGCTTGAGCCTATTTTAGGAGCCCTATAGGACGTACATGCGTCGTCATCAACATCGTCATTTTCACACAGCATCACCTCAACCCTAGCCCTTCCCCTAACGTTAACCTAACCCTCACATAAACTCTAATATAATTCTATTCATAACCCAATGATGTATGTTAGTTATGTTTAGGGTCAAAATTAGGCTTTATCTGCTTAGGGCGATCAACAAGGCGATATATTACTTTTCTTGTGCGTGTCTTGTACTTGTCTTTTGTCTTTGTCTTTTGTCTTTTGTCTTTTGTCTTGTACTTTGTCTTGTATTGTGAGAAATCTTGTACATGCCCGGCCAGTCACCCATTTGTGTACTGTGGGGTCAACTCGTATCTCCAACAGGTGGTTGTAACTGCATTCTTATCAGGGGACCAATGTCAACGATGATTGGAGCGAAGATTAGTGCGATAACTAGCCTTCTCTCCTAAACCGGTATCAGAAGCACTTGCATGTTTTGTCCTGTAGACTGAGTTAAGCCCAACTATGTGATCATTCTGACAACAGGCCGCTAGGTTTGTAACTGGTCTAAAAGGAACGTTAATCTAAATAAGTAAAAACGAATAATCCTAACCTAGTGGCAATAATCTATAAAACTTAACTGCTAACAAAATTCTGAAAGAGAGTCAAGTTAAATTGTCTCTGTATCAACATGCACACCAAGTGACAAAGTTTTCTCTCCAGTTTACTATTCTTTTTGTATTAGTTATTGGTCAATATGCTGTGCTTATTTTCGATCACAATATTAATGTAACGTAATATTTGGGAAACAGTCAAATGACTACTGTCAAAGGCCTGTAAACTTGGCCAAGGTAATTAGGGTGACAAATTATCTGGGTTGTGTGCGCAATTAGCTAGCTCACTGGCGCGAAGCTTCACCTGTATTAGTAATGACCAATTATCCTCTTATCTTTTCATAGCTCAGGTGTGGAAGTATTTTTTTGATCAACAATTACGATCGCCATGGGCTATCCTGCGTGCCCCTGCTTAGTCTAAACAAAGTAGTGACTTGCACGAGCTCAGAAAACGGAGGGGGGAGAGAGGGAGGGAGGGAAAAAGCTGGAGAGGTGAGCGGGATGATAGAGAAGGAGAGGTTCGATTAAATTCATTCATATTTCCCATTCGGTTGTTTATGTAAAATAATGATAACCCCTCGTCCAAAGACATATTCTGAGAGCCATCTTTACTTGCTCACTGCTCACGATGGTTGTTGCAAGTCTAGACGGGGGTGGGGGGGACAAGCTAGATGCTACAATGTAACGTTGCCGAGCCTTGATTACCTTGTATTGTAAAAAGGCGAGACGAGGCTTGCAAAGCCAGAGAGGCATATTCATAATAACTTGGCGCAATTTCATAACAATGTTGTATATATCCAGAAGCTTTGACTACACAGAATCATAGAATCGTTCGAACTGTTTTTGTCAGATTATTTCTTATTGTTTGTTTCTCTGCTACGAATCTATCCTTAGTAAAAAAAGTTATTAAAAGGTAAACCGAGCCACCCGCTACCCTAGATTGAGAATATTATATTAAACCTCGCGTGTATACCATGCTGGTAGGAGGGTAATTACTGTCTTCTATCCATCCCGGAATCTCTACCCGTAGATTGAGTCCGTGTGGCTGGATAGTGTATTAGATTGTGAATCCAGTACGCTTCTCTTTCCATTCTGATGGGGATCGTATGCGTGAAGGGGGGTGGGGTGAAAATAGTTTAGAATTAAGTAAGTATATGCGGCTGAAATTTCTCTTAAAAGTTGTTCCTAAGTGTTTTTCCCCGAGCAACGCCGGTTACCAGGCTAGTGTCTTGTAACATTCTTTATTCATTATACAGCAATATATGGACCGATTGCAATCCATGATCGTTTCTGAATGTGTCCATGTATAGATGACAGATGGCAGCACTTGATGTTAACCAGTCACTTGCGCGTCATGTGGCGTGCGTGCGTGCCCACAGACGTGGTCATGTCAGCATAGAAATCAGGGATAAGAAATACATTTTTGATCGAATATTAGATATGATTTTGAAGTTTTAAATGAGTGTATTGGCAGCTTACCAATGGTTCAATTTCTATCGATAAAAGGAATTGTGCTCCAGAAATCAGAAGATATGTTCAAAACGGAGGAGTATTTCCTCTTTCTCTTAGTGATACACCGTACACATAATGAATAGGCTAGTATTCGAATTTAGAAACGGATTGAATAATACAGTACGAGTGCCATATATTTATGCAGTGCCAGTTGAGTGTTGATACACAGACATAGTTATGCATGCGTGTGTATTTAGTCGTGTATTTTGTGTACCTAGGTATGTTTTACAGAGGAAACTAGTTTTTTACTACACGCACATCAAATAACATGGATCAAAGTCACCAAATATTCAAATTCAGTGTAATAAACGGACATGAATGCCATGAAAATAACTATTCCACAAATTTTAATTAACTTACTTACAAGTGGAGTTTAGAAGGTGTAATTGTGATAAGTATGTATCTGATATTGGTCTAATACTCTAATTGGTCTAAAGATGCGACATAAAAAATGACTTTGTAGTTGACGCTTGAACTTGGTGGCAGCAACATTTCTAGGTCATAAGGATTTTCAAAATCAGTAGTTTAGCCCGCTGAGGTGAGGGTGTAGCTAATACTGAATGGCCTTACCAAGCTTCTCATGTTGTCAGCTAGTGGTTGTTGTCTTTTATAGCTCTGCTTATTTGATCTTTTAGGGGTGTTGAGGTCGGGGACAGTGCCAACGTGCCAATCTGAGCCCCATGACATCAGATCGGGGGACGTCAGGAGTGGAGCTACAGCTCAACTCTCCGGTGAGTATATAGACTCTTATATTGCGCATATCCATTTCCAGCCACACCTCCACTCTGTGGCCCCACCCCACCCTGTGTACAGCTGTCTCTAGCCTCCTGCCCCTCGCGATGTAGGTACTGATGCTAGCCCCTCCTCATGTGGGTCCATCTCCAGTCCCCATCCTCTGCTCCTAGATACTCATCATAATGTTGTACGACACTGCCCCAGTATTCGTGTGTGATTGTACTTCTCATATATAACTGAATATTATAATGTTTTTTGTGCAACAAATGATATTCAATTGATATTCTTACACACATACTTAAAATTTTGTAGCTATGTAATAGCCGTATAATGATGCATAATTAATTACATTACTGATTGGTTACGGATGTAGCCTGTAGCCATGCATCTATACAAATGTTGAATGCTGCTGTCCCTGATATGGCAATTAAGATCACTAAAATGGGAATTCATTATTACAGATTATAGGCCATCGTTTTTCTAAAGAAAGTCTAGGGACCAGCATCAATAACTCAGATTAACTATACACATGTCTATGTCAGGTGCAATAATGTAATCCAACACAATAGTACAAAAACAGAAAGGTATGAACTTTGTGGTAGGAAATATTTCGTTATGTGTACCGTTCTTGAAAATGGCACTGCTTTCCAGGGATGCCTTAAAATGTACTAATTCTTGTTCATGGTACTGTACACATTTCTTCTCAAGTTGTGGATGCAAGTAACACTGATATGAACTTAATTATGCCTGGCCAGTGGTCATGACCTTGGTGCACACATCTTGAGTGAAAGTGAAATACCTTGACATGTGGTAGAACAGCAATCTATATATTAACTAGACAGAGGGCACTCACGGAGAGTGCATACCTCCGCGAGCATCTAACATGTATGTGCTCGCTGGTGGCGGCTGCTGACTGACTCGCCTGCGTGCGTGCGTGCGTGCGTGCGTGCGTGCGTGCGTGCGTCCGTGTGTGCCCATGTGCGTGTATGTGTGTGTGTACGTGCGTGCGTGCGTGCGTGCGTGCGTGCGTGCGTGCGTGCGTGCGTGCTGCGTGCGTGCGATTTCTTCGTTTTCTAAATAGGGGTGATATCATGGTACACTAACTCATATATATATGTTTGCTAAGTCTGCAATTTTTGTTAGATAATCAAGGGATTGATGGTTCATTCTTGGAATGTTTGGTTCAACTATAGTGCACAGCAATTTCAAACCGGACATTTAATAAGTCGTGGCAAGAATACTATCTGAAGTACACGAATAGAGAAAATAAATAATAGAGGGAATGAATCTCTCTATTCATCTACTCCGGTTACTGTACGACTGAATAATTAATATTGTGTACCGGATTGGCATCTTGGGTCTAGGATTTGCTGATGCTGCATACTATATATAGTCACTAAGTTTCACCTGACTTGTAAGTTTTACCCTTGTGTGAAGTTGTGTCTGATAATCTTGCACGTTTATCAGATATTTTTGACGAGGCATTATTCTGCCTTCGAATTAAACTGTGTGAAGGCCTTGTTTATTTGACCAAAAAATAGGAAAGATGTCATCAAGCAAAATATTGTTGACACCTAATGCTCGTGATGCATCTCTAAGCCTTCCAACATTTGCAACTACAACACATGTGAGTAAATAAAGTTGAAAAAAGTGGAGAGCGTACATACAGGTTTGGTTTGCGTACGTCAAGCATGCAGTCAACATAATTTTACAGGGTTAGGGCTATACACTAGTATTAGTAATACTACTGTGGGCTATCGATGTAATTATTAGGACGAAATCAGTCACATGAGCCTGAGATTGCCTGTTTAACTAAATACAAGTCCCTGTATGACTTTCGTTAGGTGTGGTGCTCTATCAGTCGTCGACGCATTGGAACGAGATCAAGCGAAACACAGCTTCCTGCGTAATGCATCCCGCATCTTGTGCGTTTACACAGCCACTCGTTATCGGTTTATTTTTGGTAGCGCTATTGTAAGAGATATGCTGGAAGAGGCTGGCAGTCAGGGAGGAGGGGCAGAGAGGCAGGCAGGCATAGGCACGTGGTTCCCATGAGCTGTAGGATGAGCGTCAAGGACTCGCATGGGCGCTGCCATGTTGCGGCACCGGCCCGACACTAACAGATGCACGTATGTCGATCGTCTCTGTTTGCTCACTTGTCTTTAAAACCGGACTTATTAACTGGTGCGTTTGTTGTTGACCTGATCGCGGGTGGCGTGCGTTTGACGTCGAGTTCGAGAGGTGTGCTCATTCACGATGTCTACTTATTGAACGAACAATTTCAATGAGATTTCAGTGTTGTGATTATGGGAAGCAAGTGCATGGAAAATTTTGTTGTGCAGGTCAATTCACTCGGTGAATAAAGACTCGGGTTTGTATTACAACGAGATTGGCTTCACCCCTCAAAAACCAACCCAACTGTAAATGGCTGTATAGTTATGGTGAAAAAGGACGAAGCATTTATTACATCCATTCATACGCTTGTGTGTGTGTTCTACTTCTAAGTGATGAGCGCGTGACCAGTACGTACTAAAGGTCAGTGCAAAATAGTATGCGGATCTATACCTGATCGTAGTGTCCAAGAAGTGTGATACAGAGCATATATAATTCGTAAGGCTTGCAGACGGACCTGGTAGTACACCAACTAAAGATGTACATGGTGTACGTAGTCTAATTTTAGAACAGCTGCAGCGTCTTATCTCGCACTTCTGTACACGTTAAAACGCTCTCTGGAATTTACTCAGCCTGTATAAAAAGTGTCGAGCATCTTTAGCAAATTAGGAATTGGATATTTACTTGTTGCACGTGTAGACCTCCACGTGCGCTTGACATTGCGTGACCGTCAGTGAAGTGGATTAGTTTCGTGTCACGGCAGATTCAAGTGCTTTGTAAGCCTTTTATGGTGACAAATTCACCGACGTCGCGTGTTGGCGTGACTGCAACTGTCGAGCACTTCGCTCCGTCGCGTGACAAGCCATCAGGATGGGAAACACCGTGGTAGGAACGGTTCCTGTGTTCTGCAAGACGGTGTTCTGTACGCCAGTGTACCCCGTGCATGGATCGTTAGTACCGTACAGCTGCCGGGTGAGTGTCAATACCGACTTGTGCGCGAGCGTGCATGCTCGGTGAGTGTTACACACCTGACAGGTATGGCGATAGCGTCATACATTTCAGATTGACGGTCGCATGTTCTCTGAATCGGGTGGTTTGGGATCTGTGAAGTGTGCCCGCGTGATGACGAGCGGTCTTATGGGATGTCATTGTGGTGTGAGATTACATAATAAGAGTTACATAAGAATAACATTTTAATACTAGACAGAGGGCACTCACGGAGAGTGCATACCTCCGCGAGCATGTAACATGTATGTGCTCGCTGGTGGCGGCTGCTGACTGACTCGCCTGCTGCTGCCTCGCCGCTCACTGGTGGCTGCTGCTGACTCGCCACTCGCTGACTCGACGCGCTATCGATCGCCCCGCCCGCTCGCTGACTCTAGTTTCAGTTTTAGTTGCAGTTTCTAGTAGTTCTAGCTTGTAGTAGTAGAATCGCTGAAATATTGATTGTTGCGCGCAAGCGAGCGAGCTGCTGCTGACTCGACGCCCTAAGGCGAGCTGGTGCTGAATCGATAGCTGCTGGCTACACACACACACACGAACACATCACACGAGAGGGATCACATTACCTCCCTGCAACTCCGTTGCGCGGAGGTAAAGAGTACATAATCTTGTGGACGTTGGTTAAAAAGAGAGAGACAGAGAGAGAGAGAGACAGAGAGACAGAGAGACAGAGAGACAGAGAGACAGACAGAGAGAGAGAGAGAGAGAGAGAGAGAGAGAGAGAGAGAGAGAGAGAGAGAGAGAGAGCGGCAGGCAGGCAGGGTCAGGCAGGCAGGCAGTCAGGCAGGCAGGCAGGCATTAGCAGGCAGTCACGTCAGTCCAGTCAGTCCAGCTCAGTCAAGTCCAGTACGCAGTCCAGCAGTCAGTCAGTCCAGATCAGTCAGTCAGTCAGTCAGTCAGTTCAGTCATGTCAGTCAGTTCAGTTCAGTCAGTCAGTCAGTCAGCTTCCAGTCAGTCAGATCAGACAGCACAAATAGAAAGCGGACATGGAGATGAAGAGAGAATATTACAAGAACCAACAGTAAGCTAGAGCACTCGGAGAGCCACAGGACCTCAACGCCAAGGCAAGCTGAATTCTCTTATGTGAAATTTTTTTATTTATTTAATTAATTAAGTGGAAAAATTTAATTAATTAATTAAATTAATTAATTGCGATCCGGTATCACGCACCAAAAGTAATCAATTTTAAGTTAGCCCCATTTCCTGAAGCTATCCTGGAAATTTTATCTATTAATTAATTAGTTTTAATTAATTAATTGGGATCCCGGATCCACAAACCAAAAAATTAATCATTCTAAGTTACCCAATTTCCTGACCGTTATCCTGAAAATTTTATTAATTGAATGAATGAATGTAATTAATTAATCGGATCTGGATTCGCCACAAAATCTCATCATTTTCTGGACGCATATCTTGAAAAATTTTATGAGCAATCCGTCCATAACTTTTCAGTTAGCGCTTAACCTGTATGAATACAGGCGGTTCCCGGCGGCTGGCAGGGGGGGGGTGGGCGGGGCCAATCTAGCCAATCAGCGAGCGTACACGACGCCCACAAAACCACAAACCCCACAAACCAACACTCAAACAGCGAACACGCTCGGTGAAACATAACCTCTGCCAAGCCCCTGGCAGGAGGTAATGAAGATTGTAAGTTTTACTGCATATATATATCAAGAGTCCATAATAGAGAAGAGTAATGACACTAGTTTTAAACAGCGTGTTTGCGTAGTTTTTTTCAACTTGAATTTTATTCTATCAATATGTGAAATAAATATATTCAAACTTTACCTTACACGCTTGAGTTTTGTATCTCTGATTCTCCCTTAGATCATAAATGACCCACCAACCACCAGGAGTATTACCTGAAAATTCGTGTGTTGATTCTTTCAAAAAAAGTTTTTTGAATACGACACGGTTTCGTCACTATAAATTATATTCTCTCACAATTTGCATGACATGAAGCAAAGTTTCTGACAGGGCAGCTATATATATATGAGATAAGTCTATCTGTGTGCACGTATCTAAAAACAACATATTAATGTTGTTGTTGTTATTGTGCCAAAAAACAGATACCAAACTTATTTTTAGAGATTTATTATTATTATTTTATTATTATTTTATCCCAACCCTGCGACGAAGTATTGCGGGAATAACTAATGGTTTTCATGTCTGTCGCAGACGCCACCAACCGGCAGACAAACTTTACCCTTCGCTTTATAACTCCGACCCTTAATTGAACCCTAAGGTGAAAACCAGGTTCACTGCGAACCTTTTTATCGGCCCATGACCTTAGACTTTATCATATTTCCGCTTCCGCCTCTATAACTCGGCCCGTACTTGACGCGTAGTGCGACTAAACCTTGGTATACTTACACTATTTTTGCGGAGAAAGGATGTGTCCGCATCCAAAAACCAGGTCACTAGCGACACTTTTATTATGATCTTGAACCTTGACCCTTGACCTTGATGGCATATTTTTACCTTCCGCATCGTAGTCCTATAACTCTGTCCGCTAATTGGACTGTAGCGCGACCAAACTTGTATACTTACACATCCTTGGGGAGAAGGTGTTGTCGCGTACGCCAAAATTCACAGTCACTGCGACCTTAATTTGACCTTGACCGTTGACGAGCATATTTCCAATTCTGCTTATAACTCGGCCGCGCTAATTGACCTAGCGCAGGCAACTGTGGTATACTTACACATCTTGGGGAGAAGGCTGTGTCGCATACCAAAACGGCATTACTGGCCGGCCTTTAATTTGACATTGAGCCCCCCTCCCCCCCCACCCGCTTAGGGTAACAAACTTTGAAATAACTTGCACATCTGAGGCTAGATACGTAATGTGTTACGACACCTTTGGTCTTTTGTGGCCTTGATTTCACATATTACCTACGCTTGTACGTCCTTACGGAGATATTTCATTCATACTAGATCGCGGGGGATACATGTAGTTGGCGACAACTGCCATTATTAGTTATTATTATTATTATTTATTATCATTATTATTATTATGGCGTTGCGCCACCGTTTGAAGGAACTGATATGAATACTATATATATGATGCTAGCGATGACAATGAGTGATACACTGAGGTGAAATTTAACAACGCAGTTACAGAAATGCGTTTCGTATGCCTTTCTTTACGATATTAGGGAGGGGTAATGAAATTTTACAAAGTAATAGACATCAAAACTGTCTATGCATTCATCCGATTTCAGACTATGTGCAGTGCTGCCATCTTTAAACTATATTGTGAAGGTACAGTGTAAAGATCAATATATCTCGAAACACCAGCAGGCATTCTGGCACGGTCTAACACAGAAGCACACGACACGTGTGCATGGGTATGACTTTGTGCCATATGAGTCATGATATGACAGAACTATATAATATAATCAGGTGTGAATAATTAATAGAGATTCTCTATTATTCACTCCTGATAATACGTGTGATATATATACGTGTTATAATATACTATGGGGCTGTTAGTTTTTACAGACATCCGTGTACTATTCTCTTTCACGAGGTGACTCACTAGTAACCCATATTTGCCACGTCTGTGGATTAAAAAAACAACCCTAGTTATGTGTATATGTTATATATATATACATCTAAGGAAGTCAGGCATGCTAAATAAGCCTGAGCTTTGAAAATGCATGAGATTTCAATTAATAATCTGAATAATTTAGAAGGAGAGGGATGGAATCATAAACTGTATTTTTTACCTGTTAGATGTTATGTTGGCAATTATTTGAGCATAAAAGTTAAATTTATACAAATGCAAAACATGCAACAAACGTGTTAGAAACAACGTCCTTTATATTATTGAAAGCCTTCGTTCCATTACGGCATATGAATAATTAAAGCGAAAAAATCGTCCATCTCTTCGCTATTCTTTATCGACTTCCTTTTCCTGTTAGCACTTCTTTATTTATTAAATTATGTTTACTGGTTCGAAATAATATTAAGGGTCTGTTGCTATCCCCCGGGCGTGGAGTGACGGTCCCGCAACGTGGCAGCACTAGTGTTAGGATTAGGGATAGGATCAGGGTTAGGGTTAGGGTCAGGGTCAGGGTCAGGATCAGGGTTAAGGTTAGGGTTTTTGCATCATGATATCTGTCTCCACACCATAGATTAATTTTTGTGGATGACGCCCCTATATATAGAGATCCGATATATATAGATATTTAGTGTTAGGGTTAGTGTTGGAGTTAGGGTTATGGTTACCACAGACTAACGGATACACTACACCGTACACTACACTGTATCCGTTGGTCTGTGTGGTTACTGTTAATTAAGTTTTGAAGTATACGTCAACTGTATCACGTGACCGTCACTCCACGCCCGGGGGGATAGCAACACCCATATTAAGGATATCATTTAGGCGTAGCGCCGTCTCTCGCCCAGATTTCAGACTTTCAGATCTGAAACATTTATTTTCGCATCAAAACTAACCCTGAAACAAAACTGAAATTTCTATTAGTATAAAACGGGGAATAAGGACATTTGGTAACATTTTGGTCCATCATAAATATAAACATATCAACTTTGATATTTTATTAATCGCATAGACATATCTGTAGTTTTATGGGCTTTGAATCTCTTAAGTGATTACAGTATGCGTGAGCAGTAGTGATGCAAGGCGATTAACTTCAATGAAAAATAAGATTAACTTAAATTAATGCCCACTTGAAAATTAGAATTCAAAAATTTTTCTTGTTTGGTTTTAATTAACATGAGTTTTATAATAAATGATATAGGTCATTTAGGCAACCGTACAACGAAAAAAGCTAGTATTGACTAGCAATTGTTTTTCACCTACGTCGGAGTCTGTGACATGTAATTTTGGTTAATTTTATTCTGTTGAATAAGCATTTGAGTGGCATTTAGTGGCATGGGTATTGCACCTGTTGCCAACTGTTTTGCATGTAGTGAATGCAGTAGAACTGTATGCAGTAGGTGAAATG